AATTTCGGCGGGGGACATCAGCCTCACTGTTGGCTTGTTTTCATATTGTTTGAAACGATTAATCATTGCAGATATATTTAGTAAATTAAATACTCACAAATGAAATAACACGGCAAGAAATATAGCATGCAACAAATTAATTTCGAAAACGTTATGGGCGAATTATTAATTGAAGGGCCAACCTTGAATATATATTAGAGAATAAAACTTAATTTTTTGTTAAAAGCCCTTAATATTCTCTACCTTAGGGCCGAGCACCTAACTCAATATACATGATACGTTTTCAAATAACTTACACCCGTCAATCTTCATCTGGAAATGGAGACCGATGTCCTAATACCAGACTTTTATTTCATACAAATAACGTGTACGTGAAATTTACTTATCGTTATCAAGTACAGTACGTGGGTCATGCACTGTATAGACCTCTAAAGGAACGGCAATAGATTATAAGGTCACTGAAAGGCAAAAATTGACCCGAAATCTTACGTGTTTGGATAAGCAGATTTGGCGTCCACGTCCAAATGACTCAATATTTTGCGCTGAAATTTTGACACAAGGTAAATAGACAATTCTTCTATATATTGACGCTTGAATTTCATACGTACACGGACTTCTATATTGAAACTGTTAAAATCAGGATGGCTCCTTTAAATATTTGTGTGGAAAAATCTATTATTAATATACTCAGCCAAATTAAAAACTTGACACTCGGGATTTTTGGGACTAGATTTTTAATATTTGGTTTAAGGCAACTATTTTAGTGTTATGTTGTGCACAGACGACCTTGACATCAACAGAACGTCTCGCCGAAAGTCCTTGACATTGATAACGTTCGTGATGTCACAGTACCCCCCAAAATGAAATTCACAGACTTGGAGAACAATCGGAATAAAGTGTTTAGTAACGGTTGTGGCCCCCTCTAACGTCTCGTACTGCCACACAACGTCTTCTCGTGGATCTCAGAACATTAGTAAACACTGCCCGAGGAAGACGTCGCCACTGCTCAGCAAGAGCATGTTGAAGGTCCTGCAACGTCAGTGGTGGATTCACTTGCTGACGAACACGTCGACTCAGTTCGTCCCAGATGTGTTCAATAGGATTAAGGTCGGGGCTAAGCGACGGCCAATCCAGGACTTGGACACCGGCATTTCTTGAAAAATTCTGGGTAGCAATTGCTGTATGGGGTCGAGCATTGTCTTGTTGAAACGTTAGTCCAGGCCCATGTCTCTGCATAAACGGAAGAAGAACAGGTTACAAAATCTGATCCCTGTACTTGACAGCATTTAAGTTCCCTTGGACAACAACAAGAGGAGAACGTCCATGTGCACAAAAAGAACCCCAAACCATGACGCTGCCGCCACCAAATCGGTCAACTTCTCTGACGCATACTTGAGCGTAACGTTCACCTCGTCTGCGGTACACTCGGAGCCTGCCATCGGCAAATCTCAAAATGAATCGAAATTCGTCAGTAAAGACAACCAAATTCCACTGTCTTTGAGCAAATCTTATGTGTCTTGTGGCCCACACAAGTCGGTTACGGCGATGAAGAGGTGTCAATATTAGTCCATTATAGGGCCTCCGAGCTCGAAGACCAGCAGCCTGCAAGCGATTTTGAACAGTTTGTGCAGTTACCCTTCCACCAAACATACCCTACTTGTGGAGGTTGCAGTGACAAATCTGTTTCTAAGATGACGTAATCGTATTGCTTGATCTTCCTGGAGTGACGTCACACATGGCGCTCCCGCCCTTGGGCGGTCGGCAATAGTTCCAGTTTGAAGCACTCTCATTCTAAGATTAATTATTGTCTGGCGTGAACAATTAAAGGATCTTGCAACAGTGACCACAGACTGCCCAGCATAGAGCCTACCTATAGCACGTAGACGTTGTACATTTGAAAGGCGCGGCATTTTCTAACAAAGATGAAATAACAATTTTAATTTGTTTTTCCAGTTCAAGTTACGTGTGCGTGTTCAATTTAAGCAAACTTGCATCGATTGACCTCACGAGTTTGTGTTTGCACGTGTTTTTCATGTTTTTCATCTTTATTTGCTCAAAAGTCACGTGATCCATTTGACTTTACATTTTTATGAAATTAAAGGCTTCTTACTACTTACTATCGTTAGAAACACTTTAAAATTTATTTGACTTACCAGAAAAAATTTTTTGTTGAAATTCATCAGTGTCAAGTTTTTAATTTGGCGGAGTATATCTATGTTTTATGTATAAAGCCAATTGTAGTATTGTTGTTTAGGTTAAAACTTTCCTGGTAATGACCAAAAACGGAATTTACCAAGTAAATTACAAAAGAGGGGTTACCCACCAAATGACAAAAGCGGGGATTTTACCCACCAAATGTCAAGAGGGTGGGGCAATTTACCCACCAAATGACAAAAGCGGGGATTTTACCCACCAAATATGATAATTCAGCTTCACTTGGGATGTAATTCACCTTAGTAGGGTTCAATATTCCTTTATTATTAATATTCTGATGATCCGAGATATACAGGTCTATTGGGGTAAATTGTGGTTGACTAAGTTTGGCATTCTCAAACGTTAAGAGTACTGGAATTAGATAAAAAAAATACTAGTTTCCTCTTTTCTTGGGTCCTTGTCCCATGATTAATTAGCCCGAGTTTAATTAAGCTCATATTTTCGAACAGTGATATGTGATTAGGTCTAATCAGTAACTACCTAGTAAAAAACATAATAATAAACAACTTCTGTGAAGTTACATGAATGGTATTAGCAATAACAAGTTACAATAAATGATATTAAGATATATTCACATGGCAATGCAATGAACAGTGTATATTATACAATATGATCATGTCCAGGATAATAACCTGGTTATTTAAAACGTCGAAGTTAGACAAATTGACATAAATTTAAGATTTCCTCCTCGTTATTGAATAAGTGACACTTCTTTAGAGTTGATGCTCTATTTACATATTTTGTAGCAATGTATTTACTTTTGTCTGTGTTAAAGAATTGACATTCAAAAAGATAATGATATTCGTCTCCCAAGTTGTTGGAGTTACATAGATGACAAATCAATTCTTCTCTGGCGATTTTAAGGAAAATACCTATAATTCGATTAGCAACTTGCGGCTTCTACAACGGAATTTACATATTTGAAGTATCAGGTTAGCAGGTTGGAGTAAATAGACTTAAAGATACGGTAGTTTGCACATTTAGAGCTTTCATTAATTTGACTATGCCATAGTTGCTTGTATTGATCTCTAAGTCTAGTTTTAAGATTCGATTTCAACCATTTAATATTAATACTCTCACTTAGGTTAGTCAATATGTATGAAAGACCTGCTTCGTCCAACACGCGCTTAATATAACTAACCCATTTATTTGAATCATTAGTACTTAGAGTTAATTTATACAACTCAAAAGATAACTTGTTTTTACTTCCTATCACTGTTTTAAGCCAAAAACAAACCATCCGACAATTTATTTCGATTTTCAAAGGATATATACCTAATTCACGATATCCATGGGAAAAAGTCCCAAATATTGGAATTAAAGGTAAATCTTTCAATGGTATCTATAGTATGTATAAATGTGCTAAATCTTGTACCAAACTCAATGGTTCAACTTCCCCGAACTTTAGTTTATGATAGGTGTCTTTCTCGTTTTTCATCTTCCTAGCAGATTTAGAATCTTACTTATCCATAAAGTACCAAGGGCTAAAATACACAAGTTCTTAATCTAACATAGTTATACCTATTATGCTTTACGGTTCTGAGGTTTGGGATAATCGGATACAGCTCCCCTAGAAAGCCTAAAACTTAAGTTTGGTAAGATTCTCTTGAAAGTTAAACTATTGTAATCAATAAAGAGTGTAAATAGTCGTTTGTTTTTACTAAGATATAAATCTATTATAAATTTTGATGTTTCCTGAGCTTTCTGTTCAATTTGTTCACCCTCGCCGGAATTTAATCCAAAGACCACAACTGTGACATTATTGTTAAGAGGGTTCACAATTCGAAACTCTAAAAGTTGACATTTTGGCCTGTAGATCAACAGTATTCATTGACTCATCTGTTCGTGATCGTTCAGCCGTGATATCCATACTGATCTCATCTCTTAATATTTGGATTTTTGAATTCATATTTCCAATAAGTTTAGTTTTTAGGTTCTCCAGTTGTGTTTCAAAGGTCAATCTTAAAGATTCTTGAAGCTTCCATATCAATCTGGTTGGATAATAACCTCTCCAGATTTTTTACTTTGTGTCTCTGGTTTTGGAGTTTCGCCTTCACTTTATCTATCCCGTTTTGAAGATGTATGCCTATTTCGATGATTTTGCAGTCGGTCTTAGATGTAAGAAGTCCGTCAGATTTTACTAGGCAAATGAGTGTGACAGAAGTTTTTTTCAGCGATAGGTAGGTAATGCAGTATACGACATGACCCTAGTTTTTAAATTGTTGTTCAAAGAATGTAGGCTAGGGCATATAATACCGTATTACCCTATAGCTAGGGTAAACTTGTTGGAATTAATAAGATAAGGTACCCCGACTTAATCCGAAACCAGCCTGCAGCAATTGTTCTTCTTCGCTAGAAATGGTAGACTGTTCAGAAAAATCATCGTCACCGCTGTTGCTCGCATTTCTAATTGGCTCGTACTGATAGGGAAGAATATTCGGGGCGAAATCATGCCTAACAAGCTGTCACTTTATGCCGATGCCATATTGAAATATACATCGACTGCTACACGTGTGTCGCCTCTTACGTCATATGACGTGATTTAGCTTCAGCGGAAATCCGAAAGTGTTTTTAACGTATATATATATGAATATATTCTGAAATGCGTTACACAATGAACTAAGTAAATGATAAAATTCTCCTTTAATTCATATAAATGAGCAAAGAAAATTAAACATATAATAGTACATATATAATATTTAATATGCATTTGTATTTTTTATTTTGAGCAAAGACATTTGTAGGATTTTCGCTAATTTGTACAGTAAGGTACTGTTGATGCGGTTGTTAGGTAAAATGAACCTCTAGTTTGTACAGTTGAATGATATCCCATGACAGCACAGCCACTACCACAACTTGTACATTGGCCGTTTTTAAAGTTGGACTCCGAACTACAGGGAAAGGAGTTAAATGTGCAGCCACCATTTATAGATTCTGTGAAGAGATCGATAGCTCTCATGTGGCTACAAGCAACATTACTCGTCAATTCTGTAATAAAGATGGGTTGGAATTGTAAGTCGCAATATTGTTGTTAATTTGGATCGTGTTAAAAAATACTATTTTCTGGTCATCTACAAACTAACTGAATCTTACAAACTACCACGTTTCTCAAATTGTTTACAGGAATCGACGTTATCGAGAGACAATCAATCGGCATATTACAAATGCATTACACACCTTGTTAAATAAATGTCAATTAAATCCCGGTCGTAACCTGCAAATTTCTTTTACTCGCGGACAGGCTTCTGTGATATACACCAATGCAGACAATAGGTGAGTGTTATCCAAGAAGGTCGTCCGCTTGTGAACTTGCCGTTGCCATTTCTTTGAAACCGTATCACAAAATTCTGGTCGTGGAAGGAGACATAAAACGACCAAGGTACTAATACTGGGGGAGAGAACTACGCGGTTTTCCACTGAAATTACTTGAAACAAGGTTAGGGTATTCAATGTGCGGAGGGAAACTAAACCAATAATCTACTCCACGATCCCTTTAGTGGGGAAAATACACGTGCAAGTGAGTGCACGAAGTTTCGAAAGTAATGGCACATACAATTAAAAGCTGAATGGGGGAAACAATGTACGTTTGAGATCGGTGCGCAAACACGTCTCTCAAACTATATCCTTAACACGTGTCTTATATACTGAAAGAAACGTCGCCAGACTTGATGACACACAAAAATTACTGCATACACTATAAACCTCAGAATGCCTCGTTCGGCATTTTTGTCCAAACGTGGCAACAACGTGCTAATAAAATTTTTGCCACAATTTTGCCACGTTGTAACAAAGAGATGTGATAAATGAAAAACAACCAAGTTCTATGTTGCAGTTTCATATGTTCACACAATATTCCCAACAAAGAGATGTTAGAAATGAAAAACAGCCAAGTTCAAAGCGAAGCGAACTCAATAATTGTTTTTTAGGCCTTTGAATATTATTAATTACAAATATGCTGTTCCTTTTTTTATATAATAAACGATATTATATTTAATATATCTCATGAAATTTTATGTAATTGGCACTCAGTTGTATGTTTAAAAATTTCAAAAGCAATTAAATTAAAATCCATCGAAAAATGAAATAGACACAATTTATGTTTATAAAATGACATGCAAAGCGGGGCGATGCGAACAACTATATTAAAAATGATAATTACATTTACATCCTTCAGGTGACCGGCCTACGTCTGGATTCTTATATAAAGGGTCGATCTGGACTATATTTTGGAGAATAAAACTGCTTAATTTTGTGTTAAAAGCCATTACAATCTTCTACCTGTGGACCGAGCAACTAACTCCATATACATGATACGTTTTCATCTTAAACCCGTCGTTTATTATATAAAAACAGGAACAGCATATTTGGTTTGGCTGAACCCCACCCCCAACCCTTTTGAAAAATCGTGTATCCAACCTTGTGATCAGCCTCGTTCTGGACAAAATACATCGTTCCAAAAACATGGCAATTTTTTTTAAAAAAATACGTTTTGGAACTCCAGACAAACGTGGCATTTTGTTTTTACGACGTTACAACTTATGGCAAAAATTTTAATATGTTTTTGCCACGTTTGGACAAAAATGCCGAACGAGGCATTCTGAGGTTTGTAGTGATAGCACAACTTTAGAAATAATGTTGATGCTATTACTAAAGAGCCTTAATGCGCCTGACCAATGTTTCCGGTGATAAGTGTGCTCTATATACTGACAGAAACATGGACATAATAATGGATGACAGCCAAGAATTACTGCAGCATAGCGCGTTTCACACAAAATGACGATACGTATACTCACGCCCAATTTTACCAGTGAGGAGATCTAACATGGTTGCTCCAGTACTTGGACATCCTGGTTGATTCTTTCCACCATTTGGATAAAAATCTGCATCTCCAATTGCTTTAGACATACCAAAAGCTGAGAGTGGAATAGAGAGATTGTGCGGAAAATTACTACAAGGGTCATTTTACTAATTGATTCGCTAATTACCCGTGGGACAAATCCTCGAAACCCTGAAAAAAAAAGCGTGAGGCTTGGCGCGCATAAACGTCTGACCGAACTCATAATAAGCCGTAGGACAAGAAAAAGATGGAGGGCACTTTTTGTATCAGAATATGTATAACTATCCACCTGTTTGCCATCAGGGATGTGGTTGACCAATGATTGTGAATCAGGAACATGCTTGGGTCAAATAGTGGCATAGCTGAGCAACGTTATATGTTTGACACTGGTTATGCAATATGAGTATAGGGCAATCTGAATCTAAATATGTGTAGTAATATTAGAACATATAAGGACACTGCGTGCCAAAAGCGTTGAAATCTGTATTAAAATCGCTCCAGATATCTCTAAAGCCGTCTAATGAACTGAGATACATTTTGCCGTTGATCTTTGGAATGAATTCCAGGCAAACTGGTTTTACCATGAGTATCTTTTAGACAAAAAGTATAAGGTTTCTCGGATTACCTAACTGAAGAAGTGTCTCGCCGTCAGTATGTATTACATCTACATAGTCAGCATCAGATTTATCTAATCGGACTGTGACATCATAGTTTTCAAAAGACAAACCAGCAGGATCTAAACCAGTTATTCTTCCCAACCCTGGAATAATTTCTCCAATATATCCAGCAATATGAGAACCCAGACTGTGTCCAATGACATAAACATTGGAGTAACTGATTCCACCAACTGACTTCAGATCTTTGATGAGTTGAGCAGCCACAGCACCAACTACTCGTGTATTAGCCGCTGCTTTAAAATAGTTGGCCTGGGCAGCACCCTTTTTCCAATTAACAGCGATGACATTGGCATCTTCCTAGATAAAAAAAAATAGTAGAAATACACAACTATTATATTCGTCTAATGTTTTTTTTTACAATAATGTTTGCGTTAATCATCTTGTTCTTGGGGGCGACGCTCTTTGAAAAAAAAGCCCTAAAACTCCGCTAATAAAGGTACAATGTAACTCGGCATGCCTGTTCCTTGGACAATTGAGCCGGTATTATCGACTATTTGGTACAATACAAATCGTTTCGTCTTTAATTAATAAAAAGCGGTGACATTCTCAGGGTCGCTGTCTTCCAACTATAAACACACAGCTGTGCCATACTTGCATAGCCACTGTGGCTCTTCGCTACCTCGAGTGTTGTGAATAAACTTGAGTAATTCAAGATAGCGCTTGTCAATAGCACAAATCTCGACTGTCAGTCCTTAATGGATCAGATCTTAATTAGTAACATTTTTGACATATATTTTGTCTTTCAATTGCATAAATCAGAGGGAAAAAACCTTACATATTTCAGAATTTCATCGACCATTTTCACAATCCATGCCGCGTCCCCTTCATCTTTGTAACCATGTATAATGAGGATCGTTTTTAATTCAGAGTGGAAATGACTATCCGTGATACTCGCATGATCATTTACGTTGACGCCTTGATTACTACTCTCTCTTGTGTTCAGTGAAAAACTGATCCCTTGCTTTTCTGGCGAATCCGGTGTGTTGCCCTTTGCGTTGTTAAAGGGTTTGGCCGTAGAGAAACATCCGTATGGCTCGTAACAAACATTTCGTGGGCCAAAAAGGAATGCTAAAAAGAAACAAAAAGATGCTGAATGCCAAGTCTCGGCCAATCAAATTGCTTATCGCTCTGCTTACCCTGAGCAGAAAATGCTCATTATCGAACTTAGTCAAGGTATTGATGTAATGAAACTATGCACCAAGTTTCATCACTCTCACTTAATTAGAACTAAAGTTATCGTGTCCCAAAGCATCAACCAATCAAATCGCTTATCTCTGCTTACCCTAAACAGAAAGTGCTCATCTTCGAACTCCATCAAGGCATCGACCTAATAAACACCTACACCAAGTTTGAACATTCTAGCTCAATTAGAAGGAGAGTTATTGTGTCCCAAAAAGTGTGTCGGACAGACAGACGGACGAACCCATTTTAATAGTCCCCTGCTTTCTTCGAAAGGCGGGGGACAATTAGCAAAACGACAATGGCACCAAATATGTACTACCAATCTGTTAGTTAAAAGGGCAAACATTCCTTTTGCAAAGACCGGTCGGAGTTTTGTGAAGGACTAGTGGCTTACTTTAATTTATGTGGCCTTACTCGCTCTTGATCTATCCATGGCGAGCGGTGTTTACCATCGTGTTCTAATCAATGTATATAAATAGTACGAAAAATGTATTATCCGAAACTTCATTCGGTGTTTTATTCATGTTTTATTCATTTATCAGAGACAACGCCAGAACAGAGGGGCGATTTGAGTATTAATTGTCCTCCGGGGACTATTAAAATGGGTCTGTCTGGCTGTCCGTCACACTTTTTGGTACAGGAAATGAAATGAAATGAAATGGGGTTTAACGTCCTACTGTTCTGCTCCTAACCTGGGCTAATGAAGACGGGCATACGCCATACAGTGTGCTATGATGGAAATTTTGCCCGGACAGCGGCACTACGGCCTACTCTTATATCGAATTCCAACTGCTAAGGGATCTTTTACGTGCACGCCAATGTGTACACGGGACCTCGGTTTTTCGTCCCATCCGAACGACTAGACAGCTTTCCTTGTCAGCCCCTCCGTCCTGCATCACTGACAAGGGAGAACCACGCCGGAAAATCTGGATGAACTTTCTCGGCCAATGCAGGGATCGAACACCCGACCTAAAGGCAAGCGAGTTAGCGTCTTAGCCACGTGATCCCCTTTTTGGTACACAATAACTCTAATTCTAATTGGGCTAGAATGTCTAAACTAGATGCAGGTGTTTATTAAAGATGGGCAATTTCTGCTCAGGGTAAGCAGAGCGATAAACAATATGCTTGCTCGTGACTTTGGAACACAATAACCCTCCTTCTAATTGAGGTATAATGTCTACATTTCTGCTTAGGGTAAGCAGAGATAAGCCATTTGATTGGTTGATGCTGTGGGTCACGGTAATTTTAGTTCTAATTAAGTGAGAGTTATAAACGTGGCGTTGGTTTCGTGATATCGATACCATGACTAAGTTCGATAATGAGCATTTTCTGCTTAGGCTAAGTAGCGATAAGTAATTTGCTTGGTGCGAAGATCCAGGCAGGTGGCTTATAGTTTTTAATTCACCATTTGTTCCAAAAAAAAAGTTGACTGACAGAATCCGATTGAAATCCTACCCACGCTACTAGGTACCCGGATTCAGAAAAAGTCACCGATTTTGTGTCATCTATTTATTTGGGCATTTCGGCGGAAAACATAAGCCTCACTGTTCGCTTGTTGATGCTTTGTGGATACTTTAGAATTGTATGTAAGGATCTTGTAGCATATTTAGAGATCTGTTTTTTAAAAAAAACATTTTAACAAAATAGCAACCGCACAAAGTTTTTCTGCATTTGGGCTTCTCCACCGTATGCGGTCAATGAATAATTCCACTAACAGCCCGTTTTACTTGCCATCGCCTGAATGCAAAGATCAGCAAATTAACTAGTTTAAAAGAAAAACATTTCAGTACCTGTCTTCGAGAAAGCTTTTCTTACCAGCTGTCTTATCTTGGCCGTCTGAATAGGTCGGCTTAAAATCGCCGGCTTCAGCTTTCTTTGGGCACGCACATTAAGCTATTTTCCTGGCAAAAGGGCGATATGTGGCCATGTCAAAATGGTTAAACTGATTTGGCTTATGGTACTTATGAACGGAACATTATCCTGTCTTAAAATTTCCGGGTTAAATATATGCGTCTGAACGGACTATAAGTGTCGCCGAAAAAAATTTCAAGCCCATATAAGTGTGGTTTAATGGTCGAGAGCGAGACATTAAGTAATATATTGAAACAACACGAGTGACTTAGTCACGAGTTGTTGTTTCCATATATTACGCAATGCATTAAGCTCGAGACCATTAAACAACTTAAAATACAGACACTCGCACGGTCCAAAATTTTAACTAGTATAAATAATGTACCTTGGCACATTGCCCGTACCATTCTTTGAAATAATGATACGCCAACATCAAAGGATGACGTCACATCTGTATTTTAAGTGTGTACACGATGCCGCATGTAAATTAGAATTCGACAAAGGGTGGCATAAACGCGGCTGTCCGGTCCGAACTCTCCTTCCAAGGATTGTACACGTGATCACAGAAAACAAATAATAGTATGTTTGCCTCAAAAGGACCGAAGTACTGTGTTGACGTTGACGAGATATTGGGATTTAAAACGTAAATGATCTGAACATTCTGAACTGCGATAGGTTTCAGTTAAATTCAAAAACTATCACACAGGAACCCTGTTCTGTGGCATGTGCACAATAAACTTGGGCGTATAAAAAAAATTTAAGAACAAACAAAAAACATTGAAAATTTACCTTCCGTAGTGAAAAACAGCGCTACAAACAGAACAACCTTTTCCGACCCCATTCTGATGTCTTACAATCAATATTGTGGCTCATGGTGGCTTTATACCACATGATATTGTGTAGCCCCGCCCCTTACTAAATACTATTTTGCCCGTTAGCAACATCTGTCTTCATTATAGCCCATTGGGTGCAGAAATATGGAACGTTAATCCCCGTTTCATTTCAGTTAGCTATCTCATAAAAACCGAAATGATAAGGGACATTTTGATATCTCAACTAATAAACAATTATTCTGATAATGGTAGCTTATTGTTTTTTTTATAATTAGGATGTTAAAGCCCATTTCAATAAATTTAAGCGCTAACGGGTTATAGTCTGTATCAGATACGCATATAAAAGTTCTTATTCAGTTGTCACACCCGCAGTAGCCCTTGTATTGAACTGACAACATATTTAGAGAAATTTAGGGCAATCTTTTTGAATTCGAAATCAAATTTTGATGGAATTGTAGCAAGGGATTTAATTCGCTTAGAGGGTGGATACAATTGCTGGGTGTTGGCGGGGCTTGGTGGAAGTGGGCGCAAAACTCCAGGAACGAACGAAAGGGCTTGATTTCCATTCTCCGTTCATTTTGGTGGACTTTTTTGTATGAATATATCTATTATCTATTGTTTCTAAACTTTGTTGTTTTTATATTGTTTGAAACGGATAGTCATTGGAAATATTACTATTAAATTTTATTAAATACTCACAAATGACAGAACACTTCAAGACATATAACATGCAACAAATTAATTTCGAAAACCTTATGGGCGGATTATTTATGAAATATTATTTGTCCGGAAAATCGATTTTTAATATCTGTTTTATATATGAACCAATGAGTTTCTGTCCAAATTCAGTCAAAGTCGGAATTTACCCAGTAAATTACAAATGGCAAAAGCTGGGATTTACCCAACAAATGACAAAAGCGGGGCTTTTACCCACCAAATGACAAAAGCGGGGTTTTTACCCACCAAATGTCAAAAGCTGGGATTTACCCACCTTAATGACCTAAGCGGGAATTTTACCCACCAAATGATAAAAGCGGGTCTTTTATCCACCAAATGATGAAAGCGGGGCTTTTATCCACCAAATGATGGAAGCAGGGATTTTACCCACCAAATGACAAAACGGGGCTTTTACCCACGAAATTATGAAAGCCGGGATTTAACCCACCAAATGACAAATGCGGGGATTTACCCACCAAATGATGAAAGTGGGGATAATTCAGCTTTAATTCAGGTTTATTTCGACGGGTCTATTGGAGTAAATTGTGGTTGACCAAGTTTGGCATTCTCAAAAGCTAGGGAAATGGAATTAGATAAAAAAAAATATGCTATTTTACTCTTTTCTTGGGTCACAGGGATTTGCCCCTTGATTAATTATTCCGAGTGGATAAACGGAAATATTGGGGGTTTTTCTGTATTGTAACTGTAAACTTATATACGAATTATCATTTTATATTGCTTGTATTTCTACTGATTATTAAAGTAATTAAGTAGTGCAGAAATTTGTAATGCGCTTTAACGTCCTATCTTCGCCTCCCTTTTTAGGGATGGCCAGAACAGGTGTATGGTAATTTCAGCGCTCCCGAAACTTGTTAATGTTCTTGAGTGGTTGGGAGTCCCCTTTTAATCATGAATTTACGTCGTTGGTATCTCATTTCTAGTTGTGGTGTACCCCTGACAGAGCTATGTAATTGCCAGACATTTTTTGTGGGGGAGTATCCATGACCAGAGTTATCTAATTTCTAGACCACAACTAGGCTAGAGTAGCTTAAATCTGTACCACCTAAAACAGTTTTGGACTTTTTCAGTACCACCACAGAAATCATGAATGACCACTGCCAGACAGTTTGTGTGGTGGGTTACCCCTAACAAGGGCTTACGGATGTCTGCTCGAGTGACGTCAAAAATTGCACGCGAAGGTACCTTGCCAGCCAAGTCACGTGACAAACATGACTTCTTTTAATGGATATACTGTTTGAATGGCATTTAGTAATTGTACACATTAATGGATGTTTTATAGCGATTTGAAACAAAATTTTGATAAATTAGTTAGTTTGAATGTTTTTAGTCCATCAGATTACCAAGTTTGTACGCTGGAAGGTAACTTTAATGTGTCTTAAAATTTTATTTTCTAATATAAAGGTAACAATTATTACTGTGGTAAATATATACATGTAGATAGGTTTTAGGAATATGTTTACTAACTTTGTTTTGAATCCAGATGCTGGAATATAGGTAAGAGATTCCGCTCGGTTGTTAAGATCAGGGGCGTAAATGTGAGGGTAGGTGGTGGTAGTCGGTCTTAAAGTAAGTGCATTTAGTCACAAAATGATGCATCAGTGACGAAATGAATTCATGAGGTAAACACAAAATGCCAAAATAGAAGGGAAATTCCCAAATACTTTTAAAATATATGTGTATACGTATGATTACTTTGATTCGATGTCAAATACGCGCCAGTTTTTAAAAGCTTAAAGATACATCATGGGAGATTCGATAACGAGTTGGCAGTTCTCACTATAATAATTAAAAACTAGATAACGAAAAGGCAATTTGCTGAAAATTTCAATCAAATTGATCCACTATGAACCGAGAACTAAGCGATACAAATTTCTGCCTAGCCTCGGTCATCATTACTAAGGTCAGTACGATAAACAGCATAGTCTCGATTAACCATTTAATCGTTTAATGGAAAAGGAAAGTTATGCAGTAAATCGGCTCACAATCCACTTAAGATCGAAGGCTAGCGATGCCATCTAGAGTTGATTATGGTCTGGATAGGTTAATTAATGTATAATTGATAATTTAGATAACATTTCAGGCCTAAAGAAAGACTTGTAATAAGCAGATTTTGCTCTTGCATAATGCATGTTTAAATTAATAATTAAAAAAACTGCTATGCGTTTAGTAATGAAACGGGTACGACGCAGTGACGAAGAAAGTCGATCTTGACAAAATTGCCGATCGGCCATAGTCAATATTGACATACCGCGGACGATTGATGAAAATATGAGGACATAGTCATATCTTTGCTAATTTATGTATATTCACCACAACAATATATCGAAGATATAGGTCCATGTAAATGATGTAATTATTATCACTTTCAGAAGTTGTCGCAGGGTTTTTCGGCAAAGGGGTGGGGTGTTAACTCCAGCACGAAAAGTCGTCGAACTCTGAATATTAATAGGGTTCGTTTTCTCATTACCATAATGCTTCAAACCAAATTTGAAAATAATCTGAAAAATTGTACCCTCTATCGCGTTCACAGTGTTTTCGGAAAAGGGGAATAACTCTGGAATGAAAGGTCGCAGAACATTGAATACCAATACGGTTCGTCCTATCGTGGCCATATTGCTTCACGCCAAATTTGAACATAACCCGTCAGAAACTATAGTCTATATCGCTTTCAAAAGCCAATTGTTGCGGACAGGACACGGTAACGACATATTACGCCAAGACTGAAATGTGGGCGTATAAAAATTACTAAATCGTGAAAATGCTAGTGGCAGCCGACACATTTGTACATAAAATAATCAAAATCGTTTGTTATTATATTTTATGTAGTCCTAGTATTGGTCAATTATAACATTGTACCAAATATTGGGAGGATCATTATTAAAATCGCTTTCTTTCGTTGTTACACGACCGATCATTAAAATCCTTTTCTCTGTTGTTATACGGCCAATCATTCAAATCGTTTCAATAAATGTCATAACATGGGTTAAAATTTTGTTTTTATTACTCGTTTTTTACTTCAAACTTTTTGATCTTTTCTGTCAGTCATATCCCTCCTGCTCGACAGTTCTCTTTGGACTAATCTCTATCTCCCAATCCACGACATAGAATTTTCCTTTTCTGAATGCATTTTTGTGTGCATGTATGCTTACAGGACCGGAAGTGAATAAATTAACTTTAATGTTACATGCATCATTACTTAAATATGTATCAGGTGTGTTTCTAATTCAATGAATAACGTTGTTTTTTTTTTTAAATACTGCTTTTAATTGCGAAAATGGAAATCGTCTCGTATTAAATTGTTGTGTTTCATATTCACGTTTTCGCGATTAATTTTAGGAGATGTATTTATATTTTTGAACATTTAAAGAAACGGATTGTTTGGCATTCTACGCGCAGTTTTCAGGGCAAGTGCACGAGAACTGGCAATAACTGGATGGAGCCTGGCGATTATTCTGATAGGACCATATACAATTGTGTTTTCGAAAGCTCCGTGGTCTGAATATCCTGAGGGGTTGGATAGCCGAATGGTTAGCGTGTGCGCGCTGCATCATAAGGTCTGTCATTGATTCAACTGGCGTGGTTTCGATTCCCCGGGTGTACGGGACAAGGAGTAGGGTCGCCTGTCCAACCTCGTTTTTTTCTCCGGGCCCTCCGGTTGCCCCCCACTGCTAAAGACCCCCACGCGCAAGCAAATTATTGAAATAAAATTGAACAATATGTTAGCCCCGAAATGACCTAGTTTGTGTCGAGTGGACGTTAAACCAAATCTCTCTCTCTCTGTGATGAACATCGACAATGACAAGGATTTCTAGGATTAAAGTTCCAGAACATCTTATATTCATGCCAAAAGACATTCTTTCCTCATAACTATAACTGTACTGTATGGTAGAGGGGTTTTATACGGACTGAGGATGTTCCTCGATCCCGTTCAGATATCCTGATAAAAGTGTCAATAAAAACATATATTTATTAAAATCTATTTTCTTTACCGGACTTCGTAGTAATCGCTTCAGTTAATTTTATTTTTCAAACATTATAGAAATGGGTAATATGAGATTATATTGAAATAAACAAAAACACAGGTGAGTATCGTATTTCACTGTGATTGATAAAACCCGAATTACGTCGTAGCAAATATCTCCACGTTGGTATTGTTATACACTGTATTGCATACGAGGGGTCGCTGTGGTTCACCGAGTTATGCGCGTGCTAGCTATGCTGGCGGTGTCGGGTTAGATAGCCCGCAAAGATTCATTAGGATTCTCCGGAGTGGTATTTACCTTAATAATAATAATAATAATACTTTATTACATATAGCATTAAGTTAAACAACTTATAGCTTTGAATTATACAATAATACAATCAAAATGAAAAGATGTGTAATTAAAAAGAAAAATAAAAAACAAAAATAATAATAGTTATTCACAAACAATAAATACTATATATACAATAAAATTAACTTTCAAGTTTAGGAAGGTAATGATGTACGTCGAGCAAAAGCGAAATATATAAATTTATCTGTAGATATAATAAGTTTTTGATCAGTTGACGACATCAAAGAGACAAATTTATAGATATTTGGACTAGTATAATACTTAGATGGTAAATACAATTCTCTTAGGGTATTATATGCAGGACAAATTAACAAAAAAATGGTATTCATCTTCCAACGTACAATATTTACATAATCTCTCTTCCCTGGGTGTATTTAAATATCTGTCAGTTTCTATGCAAAGCGAATGCGACGAGCATCTAAACTTCAGTTTTAGGTCCTCAATGCATAGATAAAATTTAAATAGAGGTAAATCTGTGAACGAATTATATGTGCTTAACTTGGATGAAGCAAAACGTGAAGAATTCCATTCTTGGATAGATTGATCAAACAGTTTAGCTTTTAAAATATTAAAATAAGGAAGATTAAAAATCTTGATTCGTCCAGTAAAAGGAACAGCCAAGATTATCCAGTAAACTTTTTAACATTGAACGCCCATGTTTTATTACTGTATTTCCTGTCCAAAGCCGAATTCCGTGAGTGGTTGTTAACAATATATTTTAAACTATCTTTATCTGATAAAACATTTATCCAATATTTTAATATACAATTTAGTCTGGAGTAATATTGAGTTGTTCTTCCAAGCTCTCCATACACCGAAGCACTATGCGTAGACGATTTTAAAAGTAATACCCGTTTACAGAATTGGAGGTGTAGTTTTTCAATGTCTGGAGAACTATGGAAGCCCCAACTTGCACAAGCATAATTAAGAATTGATCCTATATAAGAGGCAAATAGAAAAGAACATTATATAATTGATACAGGGCTTTGGATGCTTTAGATGCAATAGTTTTCTGACATTTGTTAAAATTACCTTAGCTGAATGTTTGAAAAAAAAATCAAAGAAAATTAATTTGTTGGGTTAAGCGTGCTGTTTTATTCCAGTTGTTTTGACCCTTCTATGACTTTAAATGGGAACTAACTATCATGGAGTATATCTGAGTGATGTGCGGTGCATATATTTACTATAACATAAAGGCAAAAAGGCAAACATTGTGGGAGACTATTGATGAGTGAACAATTACTAAAGATTGTGTACATAATCTTTAGTAATTGTTCACTCGATAATACTGGAGGACAGAAACAGCTAATACTTAGCATGACAATCATTTCTTAAGTTAATAAAACAGCAAAGCGATTTACCCAATACTACATAATACCACCCAATACTAACTAAATTACATACTACCTCATTATTGTGAGAAAAAAAAAATAACATTATGTGATAGTATTTAATAAGTATTGAGTACTATTGGGTAAATCGTCCCGCTCCTTGGTTAATGTTCTGTATAAAAATGTTAACTAACACCAACACGCATTATCACCATCCCATATTAGTCAATTGATTCTATACGTGACAGTCTTGTTATCTACCTTGGAACACTACAGAACTGTTATTATAATTTTAAAATTTGACCATGTTATACTGTCAATTGTTGAACTTACTGTAGCTGGAAGGTAAATATGCGAGACTCTTCTGAAACGACATATAACTTATTTTTATGCACGGCCAAGCTGCGAATGACTTCCTTTTTGATATCTTTACAATGGAGAGAAAACTTTTTTTTAACAATACCTCGCCCGTTCATAGCAAATACATTTTGATTTGCATCAACAATCAGAATTCCATCAAAAGAGTCGCATTTTACTCCCATGGGTCGAATGAAAATATCATTGCGCTTATCCTTTCCAAATAAAACATCGCCGTTTTGTCGTAGTCCAGCAACTTTTTGAACTGTGCAGTCTGATACGATGATGACCCCTGTTGATAATGATGCCAGATAAAGAGGATTAGGAAAAAGACCAGTTGAATGTATATTTTGCAAGAGATCGCCTTCCAGGTTAATAATATCAATCACTCCAGCTTCTATACCGGGACACGTGCTAACGGCAAACATGCCCCGACCGATGCCGCTTATACCCCAATATTTCTTGGTTGTCGTTATATGTTTTTCTAAAGCGAGATTCGGAGCTACATTTATAACCATGATTTGCTTAGCTTTAGGTACGGTAACAGCAACCCTGTTCTCTGTATTCATTACAGAGACTGCATGTGGAGGAAGACCAGTGGATATTCGGCTACTATCCTTTTTGGTCCCTGTAATGTTGTAAAATGATTTAATGCAATTGTTCCCCGAATCAGTAACCACCACTATTCCGCTTTGTAACAGGGCAATATCCCGGAGGCATGGGTTGGATTTGTCGCCTTTTACTTTTGTTTCCAATTTAGACAAAAATGTCAACGTGCTTTTATGGTTGAAATAGGGCGATCCGTTTGAAATTTCTCCTGGATTTAAATGTGGAACAGAATCGATAGAACTGTTGTTGCTATCTGAGTACTTCGGGATTTTGGCATCAGCAAACATTAGTATCCGTTTCTCTCTTCCAAAATCGGTAGTTCCTAGTATACCACAAATCTTAAGGTCTGCAGGAACATGGTTGATTTTAAATACTGGAATCTGGAATGAAGTAGGCAATTTATGCATAAGTTTCTGCTTTTCACCAACAATTCGTTCCACGCCATCAAGTATATTTGCATCGGATCCGTTAATTACAGTGTCCATGTCACTACATGTACTTTCTACAGACGAACGCAGTCTTTTGTTGGATTCAATTTCACTTTGAAAAACGTCATCAATTTCTAAAGATATCGAATCTAGTCGCCCCAAACACCTGGTTGTTTCGTTCTGTACCATTCTCAGAAGTTGTTTAGAGTGTGCCATTATCAAATTCTTGATTCTTTCCTTTTCAGTGGCAGCATTCGTCTGTTCCTTTTCAATTTCTATGTTTAACAGTTCCAACCGCAACAGGTATGGCTCTAATTTCGATTTATGGGCTGCAAGTTCGGTTTTCATAATTGGAACTATCTTATTGGATAGAGATTTGGAGTCGCCACAACTAACCAACGTCTTTTGTGGAGCTGTGTTAGCCGCTGCAGCTGCCTCCATTAAATTGTTAACGTAAAAATTGGTTTTAAATTGAGCTGCCCAATCTGGACTTTTGGGACGTGGCACCGTCGCCAAATCTCTACACGTTGGACACTTGAATGATGTCCCATTTTTAAAAAGCGTTGTGGATTTTATGTATGATCTTAAGCAATCAAGACAAAATGTGTGAAGACATGGCAGCGTTTTTGGATTGTTAAATTTCTCGAAGCATATTAAACAGGATAAAAAGTCTTCTTCAAAGTCTTTGGGCGAATTCATCATCCTGAAAAAAATGAAGAAAGGGTGACATAATGGTATTACTTATTCAAAATGAGAACAAAATATACGAATAGAATATATAAAACAATCCAACAGTATTCAGTAAGGCTGAAGAACCTCTCCTTAAACCCCAAATAAATAGATGCCACGCAGTAATAACTTTTTGTCTTTTTGTAAAGCATCGAGCAATCTATACTTAGCCGAATAAAACAGAATATGTTCAAGATCAAACATAGTCAAGGTTTTGCATTGTGAAACTATACACTGGGTTTTGCCCCGATTATATCTGTTTATCCAGGGCGAAAAATGTTAACCATCAAAATCGTCATATATAGAGGGTTTAGTACTTCAACTTCCAGGATTAGTCTTAAAATTGCACTGCGTTCAAATTCAATATCAGATTGCACATCGGTATAATAAAAAAGTATAGTATGGTCAAATGATTTAAATTGACAATCACAGGTAAATCAAAATTTTATATTCTTGAATTTAAAATTTAATTTAATTTTGCTTTAGAAAAAGTTATTTAGAGTTTGTGCGTATATAATAGTTCTATTCACTTACCAGATATAGCTGCAACGATGATGCCAATTATTATTTATATTAAAAAAACCTATGGTTAGTTCTACTACGTTTATTAGACGACGCATATAATGAATTTGATAAAGCTTTATAAATACTTATATGGTGCGCAATATAAGCAAGTGAAAAGGCTCACTTGCCATGCAATATGTGGTTTGTTAAGAAATTTTCAACTGAATATTATCAGTTTTCGGGTCACGCTCTGTTTCTTAACCCAAAACAGCAACGTTTTATAATTTATTTAAGGGGGCGTAGCTGTCTAAATAATTTTACGCTGGTCAGAACGGGACACGTGTTGATTTCAAATTAGAAAATACGACGATACTACTAATATGTTTTACACAAAAATAAAACTGTCGGCCCATATTAAGATAAGATTGGCCAGGATGGACACGAGAGGAATACAGTTAAAAGGTGAGGGGACATGGCGGGGTATCCGGTTCAAAACACGTACGGCGGGATGTGAGCTAAGCTTTACTAAAACCAAAGGTCAATTACGACCAGCTACAATCAACTACGTTCAAACTACTGTCACAGTAGGGTCTTGGCATCCAAGATTACCGTAGAGATATTTTGAACCGCGGTCAATTCATGAGTTTCTTGAAGTTCGAACTACGTCTATAACTACCTTTCATACGTTTAACTGAGGTCTACTACGACCAACAACGTGCGTGACCGTAAGATGTGACTGCGGCTTTAGGCTCATTGATAAACTTAAAAAATCTAAAACATTATAATATATCATTATGGTAACCTGCCATTCTATACGTTGTAATGGAACAAATTACCGATTCAAATGCGTAATTTCACTGTTATTGCTCCTTTTAAAACCAACTAAAGACTTTTTTTTAAAAAAAAAAAGATGGATTTTACCCAGTGATCCTTTAAATAGGTAGATTATATCCAGAGGTATTTTAATTACTTGCAATTATATCTGAATAACAGTTTTTTAACTTATATCTTTTATCAAGTATGCCCTTTGTTATCCCGTTTTCTCATGTCTTGCTCTATATAGTACGTTTTTCTAAAGCGCAAATTAGAACACTTACCATATTGTGTAATAAGTGAAGTGGAATGAACGACACGGTTTGTGTCATGGGTTCAGAGGTTTTGCCACTTTGAGTTTTCGTGTCCCGTCTCAAATGGAGGAGAGAGGGCCTGACAAGGACAGCTGTCTAGTCGTTCAGATGGAACGAAATACCGAGGTCCCGTGTATACATTGGCGTTCACGTAAAAGATCCGTTAGCAGTAGAAATTCAATCTAAGAGTAGGCTACAGTGCCAATGCCCTGGCACAATTTCCCTCATAGCACACTGTATGGCGTATGCCCGACTTCATTAGCCCAATTTGAGCAGAAAAGTAGGACGTTAAACCCCATTTCATTTCTCAAATGGAGCGAGAGCGATATGGTGTTTAAACGTCCACTCGACACAAACTAGGTCATTCTATGTCATTAAATAGCTTGCGTATTTATGAGAAAAATGTCACGGTCAGGTGCTTTATCCTTTATCGTCAGATGGTGGGGTGGGATGTACATCAATGAAATTGAATCGCAAAAAATTCATAATAAAAACGGGGTGTTGGCTTTCTCTCTTTCAAAAGCTCAATCATGCATTGTCAAATGTGAAATTTCCTTAAAGGCTCAATACCACTCTTGTAACTGAATAATATGTCCCAATCTTTATTCTGGTCAACAAATTGCACTATTTTACAATATTCCAATTAATTGATGATACAAATTTCATCTTAACATACCTTATTTAAAAATTTTGAAAAATTCAACATAATGGTTTGAAACGTCTAACGTAAACCTTTTCAAATGAAACTTCGATTTAAAAATATTTTCGAACCCTCTGGACAAGTAAAATAGGATGTAATGGATAATTTACACAACAGGTAGGGCACTTAAACATCTAGTACTTAGATAGAGATATTATTTATTTTCTGGAGCTTTCAAGCCAGCAAGAGTGTTATTGTCCCTTTAAATGCGGTCATAAACTACGTCGTGGTTTCCAACCAAATTTGGTTGATATGTTTATGGAGTGATTATTCAATCATTTCAAGCGGGCATGGCGATGACACCTAAACTAGGAAATATTACGCAGTGTCATAGACTAATTCGAATAAAATACTTGATGAATTTCAACCAAATTTAGAAAAGTGTGTTGTTTGGTCAATGCTTATTAAAAAAAACGACAAAGCGGAGATTCCAGCGTGCTCCCCCCCCCCCCTCATCGGTTGTGCATGACGGTGGGTCTGGCAAAGGACATCGTATAGTCGTTCGGATGGGACGAGAACCCGTGTACAAATTGGCGTGTACGTAAACGAACCATTGACATTTGGAGTTCGAAATACCTTACACATAGTATGGGGTATGCTGGTCTTTATTAGCCCATTAAAAGCAGAACAGTGGGACGTTAAATTCTATTTCGATAGAATGGTAGTTCCAATTGTATGCTATGGTTCGGAAATTTGGGGATATAAACGCCTTGATGTGCCAGAAAAATTACTAACTAAAGTTTGTAAATCAATATTAAATGTAAGCTCATGTACTTGTAATGTTGTCGTATATACCTGGTTGAAGTTGTGATATGTGCTAAATGATAGATTTCCGAAATCTTGTTATAATATGCTTGTAAAATTGGATAATACTGGCAGTCACGTGGGCTACACCTAGTTCGTTTGGGATCTACAATACGTTGGCAATATTCAGATGTTTCTGCAAAGTTTTAGTCAAGGATAAATAAACTGCTGTTCACAACAGTGGTCACACGATGTATCTACAAATTCTAAACTTGAACATTACAGCCATTGTAATAATAAATATCGAATAGCATTAACTAGATTTAGATGTGGGAACCACAACTTGGCAATAGAAGATGGTATAATATAGATAGATCTGACAGAATATGTAAATGTTGTCTGGATAATCTAGGCTGCGTGACTATCGAAGATGAAATTCATTTTACTGTATCTTGTCAAATGTATAAAGACCTTAGATCAAACTTATGTCATGGATCAACGCCTCCTATTGTAATACCAATTACCTGTATATGTATAATAATAAAAGCTATGTCGGATATAAATAATGTAGCGGAATATATATTTAAAGCTAACAACCTAAGAACTAGCTATTTGTTGTAATATAATTATGTTTTATAGTCTTTGTAAATAGTTGGTATGTTATATTATACTTCAAAAATATATGCCAGAGGCCTGAAATACTATTACTAAATAAAAATTTGATTTATTGATTGATACACTCCATTGTTCAGCTTATTAAAAATATATTTAAAAAACATAACACTCCATTGTTCAGCTTATTAAAAATATATTTAAAAAACATAAACACGTTTATATCTACTTTATATGTCCTCCGTATTCTTTAAACATACATTATGCAAGAGCTAAATTTGCCAATTGGACGTCTTTCTTTAGGCCTAAAATGTTATCTAAATTATTAATTAACTTATCCAGACCATAATCAACTCTCGTTGTCATCGCTAGCCTGCGATATTTTCCGGATTAGAATCCTATCTGCTGTTTAACGCTCATTGATAATTAAATCAAAAAATGGATAATCGACACTATGTTTTTTTTTTTTTATCGTACCGACTTTAGTAATGATGATCGGGGCTTCACACAAAATTCAATCGCTAAAATCTCGGTTCAGAGTGGATCAATTTGACTGAAATTTTCAACAAATTCCCTTCACATTATCTAGTTTTTAACTATTATAGTGAGAACTACCAGCTCTTTATCTAATCTCCCATAATGTATCTCTAATGAATGATGCATTTCTTTAAAATCAATATCGGAGTTAAGTGCTTTAAACAAAATGTATAGTTCTATCAAAGAAACACACACAAACAATAAGTAGATGTAATAAACATTTACAATGATTAGATTTAATAAGTATTTTATGTTCTACTCGAATCTATGCAATAAGTTTAGTTCATGGCGAATAAATTTTAAAGTCCCCTTTTCTTTTTTATTCAATTGGCATACAGAAATCAGCAAAATATATTATTACATAGTTGATTAAAGCAGCGTTTATACGGTACAACCAATCCATACAACCACCGGAAAGTCATATACAGAGTCATTAGATATTCTAATTCAGTCGCGGATAGATTTAGATCCTAGATTTATTAACCTTTTGGCGTTGTCTTATCCAGATTATCGCCCTTTTTATTGTTTTTATTATATTTAACTGATGACGTCATTTGGCAAACTACCGTTTACATTATAATCCTTGAGTAGCCTTTAGTGATCGTGCACATTGAGCCACTTGATCACGATAAGAGAATACTTGTCGAAACATCGTGCTATATGTGTATAAACCAGTGATTGTTTTCCATACAAATTGTGTTTTTTCTTACCGCTTACATTATTCTAAAATAAGTTTAAATATCTTTAAAAGTATTTTGGGTTTTTTCTAATTCGGCATTTAAATACATGTGGAGGTATTTCCCCGTATTTACCAGTATATGGACGTTTTATTTTTTTGTGGTTTCGGTTTATAGCTTTTTGGTCATGTTGGCACTGATTCCATTAGATTTGGTAGAATTTGTATTTTGATTTTCATAGAATTCAGATTTTAGTTGTAGTTATTCTTTCTGGTTCAAACGTGTTAGATAATCTGGCTTAGTTCTGTCCTTTTACTAAAAAATTGGGTCCATAAAGGGTGTTAGATCTTGTGAATTTCGGCATTGCCTTGGTGGAAACATCACAGTTTTTTTTTTATAAATTTATCCGAAGATGGTAATGCTTGGCTTTGTTTTTGTTTATCCGCATGTTGATTTGAGGAAGGAATATAAGGAACGCGTCCAAGAATAGACATTTTTTAAAATATTTTCCCAGGCTATCTTGAAAAGAGAATGACTCTTCTATTGGTGAATAATCACTAATCTTATCATTTCCAATAAAAGCTGACGCATCGTCTTTGTTTTCAATAAGATAATCGATCATCCCAATTTCAGCTAAAATCCTCCCAACATCGTTGACATCTGGAGCCCGGGGGTTAAAATCATGTCCCTGATCTACATATTGATGACTTTCGCTTCCTCCCT